ACTGGCAAAGTGCTCCTGATGTAGACTTGACCGAACTCATTAAAACAGAGAAGGAGAATCATCAAAAACTTTCTGGATTTGAGGTAGATAAACTCAATGAGCTACATTTATGAGGTTGCTAGTCATCTTCTTTTAGGTGCTACTCATTTTCTGCAGTTAACACAGATTAAAAAAAAAAACATAAAATATCGCTTAAAGTTTACATAATACTCGCGACCATTACTGAAATGTAACTAGTTACTGTAATTCTCATGAGGATCTTTTTTCACTGCTTGCAAAATAGGAGGCACTTCCTCTCCAGGAAAGGTCATCATGGTATGTGGACAGTTTATGTCAGGTGACCTTATGAAAACCATATAGAAGAAATAAGAAGGGGAGATACTGTAAAACTAAAAAATATTAGATTGCAGTTTACACCATGAACATCTGAGAACCCATGTTTTGCATAAAAATATAAACTAATTAAAATAGTGCAAATAGAACAGAAAAGCTACATGTGTGTAGCTAGTAATAAAGCTGCTTACTGTTAAAAGGTTTTCATAGAACAGGCTGTTGGGGTTCAATATTCAAGTTAAAATTCACAACTTACTATGTGAATGTTTAACCATGCAGCTGTATCTTCTAATGTTCTTTCACATAAAAAAGTAACATCTCTCATACAGTGAAAGGTATGTATACGAACGTACAAATATGTTGTTGTAAGGAGGCTGATATTTTAATAATATAATAGGATGATTCAACTCTGCTATTGCTTTCAGATGTCCAACACAAAAGACCCTGTGCTTCTCAATAACCCACTGTTGCTACCAACATTATGCCTGTAAGTTCCTATCATCATACCATTGCTTCCCATGGTTAAACTCTTTCCTCTCAAATTTACATCTTTCTCCAGCTTCTGTCCCCCTGTGGGATCCTTAGGGCAAGTCGAGAACAACCGCTTACTACTTGACTATGCTATAGAGTGTAATCCCGAACCTAGAGTGGTAATATCTTGCTGGCTATACCTTTTTCCTCTTGTAGACATCTTCTTTCTAGGCAGTGCTGCAAAGATTTTTCTGTGAAACATACGGAATTTCTACTAGCTTGAGGTTTTTTTTCTTTTGTTGTTTTTTTTTAGCTGAGGTGTTACTACGATCCATGCTTTACGTGAACTTATATTTTAAATAATGTTTGCATCATTTCTTTTTAAAACATCATGCTTTCATCACTGTCAGCTCTGATCAATCCTACAGCCTTTAACAGAGACTTCCAAAATGCATTGCAAAGCAGCTTCCCTACAATGTGAAACAGAACTTGACTATTCGTTTTACAAAACCAACATATGTGTTTGGTTACAAATACTGGAGTATTTCTCTAGTACTTCATTCAAAGGACTTTTTTTAATACTTGTAAAGTTTGCTTTGAGAGAGTGCTGATCCCTATTCTGTGAAGCAAGCTAGCATCATTAGGATGACAAAATCAAGTCTTATTGTGGCAAGAAGAAACATCATTTAGTGTCAACAACACACTGCTATTGATTTGAACTCCTCCTTGCCTCATGGGTGAAATAACAAGCTCCTAAACACAGACTCTCTAAGCATACCAATAGAGGAGAGAGGCAAGAAAAATACTAAAAATGGCTGTATTAAAGATACAACAGGAAATATATGACTCATGAGATGTAAATTCTTTTATCTGTATGGAATAAATTGAAGAAGAGCTTAATATGGCTTCTGCAATTTCTATGGAGTTAGATTAGAACAGAAATACACCTACCAATAATACACCAGATTTAGGCTTCCCAACCACCATCTCCTAACTGTTCAGTATCCCCTGTGAAACAAGCCAGCTTCATTTTCATTATCTAATATGTGACTATTCACATTTTTAAAATGACACCTTATTTTAGCATCCTGGTTGGCCATTTCAGTGTAAGATGGGGAACTGATTGAGCATACAGCGTAAATTATCCGTTCACATTACTGGCAGGATCTCTCTAAAACAGAGCTAAGAAACAGTCTGTCAACATGGATAGGTTTACTCTTTTTCTATTTCTGAACAACGGACTGCAATTTTCAGAAAAAAACCTGTATCTTTCTTCTTAAAAGATACAAAAAAGAATAAAACCATAGTCAGTTATGCAACATCAATATAAATACCACTTTGCACATTGATAGTTCTTTTTCCAGAACCTAAAGCTATGCCTTTAAGCAAATTTGCAAACCAAAAAAAAAAATGTAGCAAGATAAAATACTACTTATGTTGTCTAACTGCACCCAAAATTTAGGCTAATTTCAAACACTTTTGTAGCATCAAAGTTAGCATGCTAGAATTCCACAGTCCATCTCTTAAAACGTGACTGAAGTAATATACAAGGCATAAAATATTATTTCAAGATAACTTCCTTTTAAAAATACTGAAGTGTAGGGAACAAAGCTATTTTCATACCACATCCGAAAATGGATGAGGTGTGAAAGAAATCTCTTGTTTAATGTGACCTTTGGCTGTACTTTCACTTGTCATCATTATGAAGTAGCTACTTTCAGTGCCAACACATAAGCTGCGTTATATTACCCTATAACAGTAGTAGCACGTCTTTCAGGAAGTGTTTCATACTCTTGAGAAACTGGTGGCAGAATGCACTGACAGCACTTACCTTTGTAACTGCTTATAATAGCTCTTATTCAACAATAAGACCTCGTTTACACAAGGAAATAAGAGTGACTGTACTAAATTTCATAGAGCATGTCGCATAAACTAGTATATGTTGAGGAACTCCCCTGGAGTTCTCAGCTTCAGTGAAAACATTCAAATAAGGAGAAATGTAAATTCCAGATTGGAACTCTGCCCCAAATAATAATATTCAGAGCTTTGTTACTGTGCACGGACCAAAAATACTGCATTGTTAAGATCTGCAACATACTTGACTTTTCTTAATGTATGTAATTAAGAAAATATTTCTGGAAAGCAAATGAATTTGAAATTCAAGTAAGATTAATAGAACAAATACGACAAATTTACGTTTTATACAATGGTAGCAAGCTGCAGAATAAAAATCAGTAGCTGTCATTATCTAAAGCTGTTCATCTAACACCGTAGAGAGAAAAACCATTGATACATACTGTACACACATTTTTATCCATGTATATAAATCAAAGGAAACAGCTTCCTTTAAGGCAAGCATATGAAGATACTAAAGCAAGATACAAATTAAATATTCATACATTCAATATTTCAAAATAAGGAATTTGGATATACACATGCATAATTTAAGTTCTATAGCGAAACCTGTCTACAGAGGCCATTTCTACTGTATTTCAACAGCATTGAAACTTGAAACGTACAATGCAGCCTTTCCATGCTGTGTTAAAACTTTAAAGTATATAGTAATTCATTTCAAGCACTAAACACAGAATAAAGGCCACGTTATGCACACTGCACTTTTGCAGAGGAACTGCTGCTGTGCCCTATTCATTACAGCTCTGAAACAGGGCTGTCAGTCCCAGTGCTCTCCTGCAAGGTGGCTTCCGACTGCCCAACAAGTTACTCATTGGGAACTGAAGTCAAATAAGCAACTTCAGGTAAGATGCTCATCGGTCCTGAAATACCCGTCAATCAGAATTGACTCTGAGTCACATTCTGATCCCAGGCATGTGTTTTAAATTCCGTAGAGCTGGTGCTCATACGTGAAGCCTAAAACTGGCCCCTTACACTGCTTTTATATATTCACTCAAGCCTCTTTGGAGTAAAAGATGAGATTTCAGACCTTTTTAATTAGCAAAAGAAAGCAACACGAAAACAGGCTTCACAACAGTACGTTGTACATGAGGAATGATTCTTTGTGAACACAGAACCTGAGAGTAGTTTACATACAACAACACAGACATGTTAAATTTTCCGAGCTTATAAATTCCTACACATGCAAAAAACACTGTGGGGGGAAAAAAACCCCTACTACCCACCTTCCCCCCTTGACATGTATCTTCTCCCACATGTGTCTAAAGATACCACCATTCCTCCCCATATATTTAAAACCTTGCCACTAAAAAGGAACTCTCCGTATGAGTTAAGGTGAATGTATTATTTTCTTATTAGAAGCTAAATGTATTAGTTCAAATATCAAGAGTCTCACTTAAAAATATCCATTTTATTGGGACAAAAATATCTCAAGTTGACTTTAAGAATAATAAAATAGTACTTATGAAGGGGAAAATAGAACTACTCTGCTTCTATGTGTTTTAAAGTAAACATTTATCTTTGCTCCTTAAAGGTCACTCATTTGATCTTGACACATCTATGAAATAATAGAAGCAAAAGCTAAATAAGTAGAAAAGTGATATTAAGCAATATAAAGCTAAACAAAACTAGTATCTACATGGTAAATTACTTCACTGAAAACCATCTATGGATTCTGCAAAGAATATACTTTTGCCTTAGAGCTAGTACTTTAATTTTCAAGAACCAAGAAAAAAAAAAAAATCAAAACTAGTCAGTAACAATGCAGCGTCGAAAAGCAATAAACTCAAAATTAAGTTATAAATAATTTAAAGCATGTCATGAAGATGTATTAATAATTCATCAGATAAATAATTTACTAAATAATCAAATAAATAAATAATGAAATACATAAATAAATCAGCAAATAAATAATTCTGCAAAATAACCTAAACAATAAGTCACTAAAACAAATGACAAACCTACAAAACTACAATGATTTTCTAAATTCTGATAGTTTTAAATAAACAAATGTATACAAACTAGATCAATCTTTGGTGGATAGAGAAATATTTTTCACTGCTATTGGTAAATTCCTGATTACACTGCACAAGGATACAATTTTAGATTTTACAAGTGTGCAGTTTTTCCCTTGTAAATTATTAACATGATTGCTACAATACATCCTGCTCTGTATTTTACACGTAATCCCTTTATGTAGCTCATTTTTTGCCCCCCAAAATGAAAAACTCTTTACAACATTCTTAATTCACATATTTCTTTTTTTTCCTGGGTGCAGTACTTACAATACTGCAATAGCCTTCTTGGTGGTTCTCCTCCTGTCTTCTGCAAACCTTCAGAAGTTTTGCTGCAGGGGGAAAACAAGTAGAATAACCTTAATTATTACAGATGGTATCTCATTCATTAGCGGATGACAACATTTTATTTGAAAGCACAAGAAAAGCTGTTTTATAATTCTACAAAGCAACTTAATGTGAAACAACCATTACGGTTTGCAGACTACCGAAAGTTTTTAGAAGTCTTTGGTGGAACGAGTTCAAGCAGACTGAGGCCTGTTTCTTGTATTTAAGCTGACACACAATCTGTGCAAACTGGCACTAATTCAGATGTAAAGACAAACCACGAGAAGGACAAAATACTTGGCTGACATCTAATGTTATCCTTGATTTTGGAAGTTCATAGTCCTTGAAAGAATACAGTGAGATCATTTAATATCCACTATCTAAGTACATTCACAATTTAATTAGAACACTGCACTCCAATGTCAACAATGGTACCACAAAGGTCAAAATCCGCCCATCTCCTGAATCAGTTTTCATTCTCCATTTATTTTAATGAATAATACTGACAACCACCATAGTTTTCTTCAAAGTGGTATTCCGTAACTATAGCAGTTAAAGAAATGTGCCATAAGTGTAATCGTGTTATCAATTTTTTTCCATTGTCAAAAAGGTTTATTTGCTTTCTTCCGTAACACACATTACACAAAAGAGTGAGACAGTTGCATAAACCGTGCTACTGACTTGATCTCTGTACAGGACTGTAAAAGTGAATGAATACATCAAACCTGAGGTTATATATTGTTTATATGCACAGGTTTTTTGCTACTTGGTTCAAAGGAAATCAGTATGCAGTGTTGTTTCTGCTGGTAAGATCTCAAATGGTTGATGGTGTTGCTGTATTTCAGCATTTAAAAGCATAAAGGATAATTTACTCTTAAAACTACTTGGGCACATTATATTTAACAAGTCTCAAATTCTCTTTAGGGATTATAATAAGGAAACACTTTGCTTAATCATAAATTTTATATTTATCTTGGCTAAACACCCTCCTTTGGATAGACTGCCATGTTTTGTCAACAAAAATCAACACAGTGGAAATGAAGTACTTGTTCTGTTGTGTGGTCATTCAAAAGGGTATGTAGAAGTAATGTAAATGTGCACCAGCGCTGCTGATAATTTCACGCTCTCATACACTCATTTCAATTTGCTTTAAAAAGGACTATTCCTCCTGGCTAAATATAGTCATCATGAAAAAGTATACCTCCCCTTTGAGCTAATAACACTGCAAGCCCCAAAACACAAGAGTACAAAAAACTTCTATATTTTAAGGACTCTGAAGCACTTTCTTCTCACAATACAGGATTCTGAAGTGGGACAAATGAGACTGGTTTTATTGCTAAGATATTCTCTTTTAGTGCCCAGATTTCTGTTTGAGAATGGCAATTCATCCATTCCCACACCACATCTGTGAATCCCATCCACTCCCGAAACAAATCATATACATCCTAAATCCTTCTTTTTTAAAGTAACGGATCCTTGTAAAAGCAGTATATACCTTAACACATTAGAAGATTTTGAGGATTACTGGGACATAGAATGGCTCAGGAATGATCCTGAGGTTCTGGAATAAGCCCTTCTCTAGCAAGTACCACTTAGTCATAGATCATCTTCCTTCATCTGCAGCTTGGCAGCCTCTGGTAGCAAAGTGATTTTTCACCAGAGAGCTACAGTACAGCTAAAACTGTAATTACAGTCACCGATGTCTTAAAAAGCCTTTTTTCTTCCTTCTAAAATTTACTTAGGTTTTTTTATTAGTTTCATGTTTAATTTGGGCTTCTAATCTATGGTTACAGAACTGACCTCCTCACACAACTATTTCTATGTTAGAGGGTCATAATTCCCTGCTCAAATAGACACATAAATCATTTAAAGAAGGGACACAAAACCAGTGACCTGGGATACAGCCACCTTTCCCTCTCTTGCAATCAAATGCAAAGTCCACCCTACATAAGAGGTAAAGGACAGAAACTGAATTTGATTCCATTCCTCTGTCCTGCCAGCTGGTCCTTTCCCCCCCCAACCCTCAAACACAGTACAGGTGCCTTAACAGATGATGAAAAAGATTGGTCAATAGAAGACTAAAGCAAAAGGCAGTGCCATTCAGGTATACTTCGTTGAGGAAGAATGCCAGAAATCAAGTAATTGCATGCATTCTGTACTCTGCCCAGACTGAGAAGATGAGTGCTACAGTAAAGAGGCCACCTTGCTGGTACTCATGTTAATTTGGGTGATAATGCAAGGAACTGGATTGTATCACATACCCAAGAACAAATGTCAAATACTTACAATGGCAAAATTATAAATAAGGCTCACAGTAAAAAGCACCAAGCAACAAGATCTTCTTTTCTCCACCTTTTGATATTGCCATCATCAGAAAGTTTCTTAGTTTGCAGGTACAAATCAGACCAAAAGAAACCACATACTGCTGCTGCTTCGCTTTGGGAACTCATGAAAATAGGAACCAGAGGAAATTTTAGAAACAGATTACCATATTTCAAAATTTAGGACAGGAAATTTTTTTTTTAATGTTCAGGAGCAAATACAGGGGAAAAGAAAAAGGCTGGATAGACTTGCTTAACCAAATTTTAGGTAATGTAAGATACTGACCACTATATTCTGACTCACATTTCAAGGATTCTTTGAATTGTTATGAGTTACATAAACTATCTTGCATTACCAGTGGAAAAAAATACTGCAATGGATTATTATATTCAGGAATTTAAATAATATGTAAATCCTTTCCAGGCCAGAAGCCTCATTCCTCTGCCACACTTCCCTCCCTCTATTTATTACAGTTGATCAATTAAATTAAAAATTATCTGTCTGGTCCACTTCACATAGAAAGATACTTTTGTGACTCAGTACAGTACTTCATTAAAATTTTTAATATATCTCTGATTTTTTTTTTTTACCATAAAAGGCAAAGAAGTGCTTGTTATACATATTGTATAAGTCCAACTAAAAATGTAAAAGTAACTCTGTCTTACAATCAGTTATAGGATAATTTTGAGTATGCTCCTGATAAGATCTTTGAGTATTTCTTGAATAACTTTTTAACCAGCTTCTTCCAATTCTCTCTTAAGAAAAAAATCAATTTTAAAATATTAAAACATATAGTAAAATGTTAAATCCCAAACTACTGAATCAAGTGCTATCAATCCAACACATAGCTCATTTGACTGTTATGACCCACGTTTCCTAGTCGATTTTTAGATAAAAACAAGCAGATTACTAGCAAAGGTTTATCTCAAATTCCCACATGTACAGCATGCCACATTAAATATATGCAAATCAACCTCTTTCTCCTCTAGTTTTTTTGAGCTGACAACTCATATGACCTGAAGCCATGGTTAACGATTACAATTATTTGACTTTCATATTTATACAATCAGTCATCAGATATGCATGTTAATTGATTTTAACAGATAGTTTTGTATTCTAATGATCAACAGTAAGCATACACTTTACCAACCTCTTGATTTATAAGAAAATAAAACTTATGTCAGTTTTCACAATTAACCCTTCACTGTATTGATTTGCAGTGTTCACTGCAGACTTCTTCATAATACGTTAACATGGAAGTACTCCAGACTACGGGATCTTTATTTTGGTAGCAAAATTTGATATTCCAATTAGAGACACTTTTCTACCATTTTTAAAAAACACAATTACTACCCTATTTAAACAATACATTGTCTTTTAATTAGGAATGATGAAACATAATCAACACCTAAATGAATGGACTGGGCAAAAATTAATTTACAATTATTTCATATTCACATTTTGCTACTTAAAGTTCTTTTCTCTTTTTCGAAGAACCTTAGCTGTGCACTTTGTGATTCTAATAAGCCCTCAAATGTCATATATATGACAGAGTACAACCCTACTTTTAAGATCCTTATTTCTCAAGTAATATGCTTAAGGCCAAAGCATTCCTCTGTTGCCATCACAAAACTTATTACTGAATCAGTTACTTTTTTTTTTACATGGCTGAAAATGTATTCTTTGCAATTACATTTTTATTTCAGATGCCCTATTTATTGAAGGATCAAATACAAAATTACAGATTGCACAGATTTGCATGCGAAGGACTACTCTGTAAGTTTATACAGTGTGCAATCATCATCTTACACAATTAATGGTGGTTGTTCTTTAAGGATATTCATATAAAAGAGAGCGGATATTGCATCTTACTCTCAAAAAGATCAGTTTATGTCTTGTTCCATAGAAGGGCTCTCCCAATTTAGGCCTTAATTATTGTTGTTGGAGTAAAGGCTTATGCTCCAATTTTCGTAAAGCTAGAGCTGCCGAATCCCTTTCTTGGTATATTTTAATACCGATACAGATACTTTAATTTCTGCAAAATGGAGAATCTTTCTACTTTCTATAAATAACTGAATGAAGTATTGAATCTATTCATCTTTTATCCAGGTGAGCATCATACGCTCTAAGCTCTGCTACCATTCTCTTTTTGGCTGTCTGCTCTAATTAATTTCAAGTGAAATTTATCCATTATGAGACTTTGTTATACATTCTCCAGAACAAAAAGCAGCACAGAGACATTAGAGGACTCGTCTCAGATATATAATGCTGATTCAAGTTCCTATGATGTATCACGGACAGAAGAAACTTAAAGCCGTGTTACAATCATGAACAAGTACCTTAACTTCTAAAACACTGTTTATAGACTTTTCTGAACATAATGAGAAAGGTACTGAATATATAGGATTCTGTTGCTTTCGTAATAGTTATTTTCCTTTAGCTAAGGTCTGGCATCATGGCAAATATTGACAATGCAAATAAATTCTCTTCAATCTTTCGCTTACTGGTAAACACCTTCTTGGTCTTCAACAGATCTTGATTTCATCCTGAACATAATGAGACCGTCTAGGGGTCTGCAGAAAGGGGAAAGCTATCCCACTGTAATCACTAACCCAGTTTTAACACCACACATACCAATGCAGAAAGACCCTGGTTTCTTTTGTATAATGCAATGCTATGAGTTAATC